CTGTCTCACACTCATACCTCACACTCGTACACAAACACACCCTGTCTCACACTCATACCTCTCACACCCAGTGTCACACTCGAACTTCACACTCATACACAAACGCACGGTCTCACACTCATACCTCACACTCGTACACAAAAAAAGCCAATGTCACACTCGAACCTCACACTCATGCACAAACACACCGTCTCACACTCATACCTCACACTCATACACAAACACACGCAGTGTCATACTCGTACCTCTCACACCCAGTGTCACACTCGAACCTCACACTCATACACAAACACACCCAGTCTCACACTAATACACAAACACACGCAGTGTCATACTCATACTTCACACACCCAGTCTCACACTCATACCTCACACTTGTGTACAAACACTCCCAGTTTCACACTCATACACAAATACACTCTCACACTGTCGAGTTCCAGCATGAAACGTCACTCCACGTCTTCCATCTCCAAAAATGCACAAATTCCAAAGGCTGAAGCTTAAGGGAAAAATTTTGAAAAGTCAGATTATTCCTTTCCTACATTTAAGGCGTATGTTTATAGTTTTCCACCTTTAAATAAAACTTTACCTTTATAGTGATCTTGAGAGAAACATCAGGAGTGAATTTTTCTCTGGAGCAAAAAATAAACACTCGGAAAATGACGCTGACAATGTGACCCACAAACTCACCGATGTCTTCCATGTCCGAACGCCGTCACGGGCCGCCTCTGTCTGTCTCTGCTGTGGCCAACACACTGCCTTCGTCCTGCGCTCCTCGCAGGAGAAGAGCCCACTGTCACCATGGAAACTCCGGACCGTTTCTATGGGAATGCAGTGACCCATTGATGGTTTCCATAGAAACTCGCATAATTCTGGACTGTTGGGATGGAACCAGGAAAAAATACAGCAGTGGTTTTCACTGAAACCATCTGGACCGTCACTATGGGAAGAGCATGCCTAGGGATGATGTATTCAACGCTGTCTCCATGGGAACAGGACATTGATGGACATACAAACAAGGAACTGTCTCTCTGGTAATCAGATCATTGCAGTTTTTTATAAAAAGAGGCTTACTGGGGGCTATGCTGTATATTGTCTTGGGAAGAGTATACTGTCCTTACAGCATCCTAAAATTTCTCCACACTGGGCCTTTGTGACTACGCCTGTTTCACCTCAGTACTGCATCCTTGATCCCACCCTGTGGTCATGCTGGAGATCTGTCATTGAGCAGTTCTCGATAAAGTGCCACTGTCAGCACTGCCTGCACTGCCGGGACTGCACTGATGCTGTAACAGGTGTCTGCCCCCAGAAGCTGTTTGTCAGAGCCGATATTCACCAACACAGACAGCAGACATGTGCCTATTGAAGAACAACGCAGTGGAGTAAAGAAGGACAGGACCCTGATGCAGCACCAGGGTGAGACAGGCGCTAGACAGACAGGCCCTGGGAGAGAGCGAAGAGAGGGCTGTTCTGTACGGCCATCAGTGAGACATCCTAACCTTGCTTCTGTGATCATCATAGTGGCCAGATTTTAACGTCTGATGGCCCCACGGATCAAATTGGACAGTGGGTATCATTGCGTCCGTCATCTTTTTCTGCCCTGACTGCCTGTGCTGGAGCCCAGGTTCCTTTAACGCTTGGGGGATGCGACAGTGGTTACCCTGGGCTGAGCTCTAGGTTGCACAGGAAGCGGGCTGGCAAGCCAGACTGTGATGTCACTTCCTCTGCAGAGCGTTGTTCATCCAGAGCAGTCCGAATCTGTTGCTTTCTGTTTGGGCCTCCTACCTTCCCCGGTTAGCTAATTATGAACTTAATTGGCCTTTGTCACCATCTTTTCCGTGATGTGGTGGTGGCTTTCAAAGACTGTCAAAAACTTAAATCCCAATTAAGATAAACAATTGGCTCAATTAAGCGCTTAGCAACATGGGCTAGGACAGAGCATTCCTAACAGCTGTACACATTGCGAAGGAGAGCCCCACTCCCCGATGGGACACCCCTTGATACCACAAGGGGGGGGGGTCCACATTCCCCCCCGCCAACCCTCAGCAGCCTGATTCCCTCTAATAGCTCCGCCTGGAGGCAGACAGGAGCATTGCGCCACAGCGAGAGAGACATGGGGATGACAAGAAGCTGTTGTGTTTCTACCTCCTTCCACAGCTCCCTGCTGTTCTCTGATTATCACACGTTACTGAGACCAGGAAAAAAGAACAGAGCTGGTATCAACCAAATTAACTGTATGATTATCAGCAAGGGTTTTGATTTTAGAACTTTTAATGCAAGTTATGTACTGACTATATATGCCATATGTATGCAGGTTATGTATATGCACCTATAAATACACTAGTCCAGAGGGATGTGTGTTCTGTGGTTTATAATCGGACTTTTGCTCCACACACGGCCGGAGAGCTGCAGCACCAGGAGCTGGTCCTGAGTGAACTGCTCCATTCACTGGTCTCATTGTTCTAGTTTAACTAAATTGATTGCGTTGTAGCGGTTACTGACAACGACTTTCTCAGCAGAACACAAGGAGAACAAAGCACCTGACCTGTTTGGTGGTTTAGTAACTAGCTGAGCCCAGGATCTCTTCCAGCTGTTTCCTGAAAGGGGTCAGGGCATCAGCTTTAACGAAAAGGCTGGGAAGACTGTTATACACTCTCACCATCCTTTGTGTTCAGAAGTGACTCCCGTTATCAGATTTAAATGCATTTCCACGAGGTTTCCACCTGTGCACTGTGGTTTGTGTTTCACCGTTGATCTTGGAGATGTCCCCTGGGTTGACAGTCCCACTCCCTTCAGACTGAAGAGACTCAGTTCCTCCAGCCTGTCGGTGGGGGACACTCCCTTCAGACTGAAGAGACTCAGTCCCTCCAGCCTGTCAGTGTGGGACACTCCCTTCAGACTGAAGAGACTCAGTTCCTCCAGCCTGTCAGTGTGGGACAGTCCCTTCAGACTGAAGAGACTCAGTTCCTCCAGCCTGTCGGTGTGGGACACTCCATTCAGACTAAAGAGACTCAGTTCCCCCAGCCCGTCAGTGTGGGACACTCCCTTCAGACTGAAGAGACTGAAAATATTTCGTTTTAATATTTTATCTTTTTAGCTTTTAAATAAAAGGGAACCCTTTATCCAATGCACGCATAATAAACGCCAGGACGATCGAATATTTAAATTAAAATCTGAAAACATGTTGTGTTTCGGGCCAAATTGAAGCGATACAAATATACAAATTCTTAATATACAAATACAAATACAAAATCCTTTCGGGCGGCTTGTTTCTATGGTAGCACGACATTCACCTCAGATGGGTCCACTCTGCTGAGATCCGCCCCCCTCGCGTTTTCATTGGCTACTTTCTTCAAGTCCCATCCTGGTTCGATAAGAGTAACCAATCAGAGAGGCTAATGTCATATGACGACCCATGGACCACGCCTCCTGGCGAGACACCGAAGTCCGCCTGGAGATGGTGCATGGGAGTTGTAGGTCTTCTGTGGTTGAGAGCTTAATCCCTCCCTACTTTGAGAAGGTGTCGACAAAAACTACAGCACCCAGAAGGCCTTGAGCGGGCTCGGTCTGGTTTTTCTGCTTGCGAGCTTGAATGTTGGGACTTCGGTAAAATCAGAAGCAGGGTGCAAGGTGAAGTCAACGTGATGGTAAGTGCATTTTTTTCTGTGAGCTACAATGGCTCTATTTTTACACATGCTAGCCCTTAAGTCTTTTAATATGTTAGCTTTTTCTCACCGGAGAAACGTCATTAAGCGGGGCTCCGGTAATCTGAGACGGTAAACAGCGAGGCGGCACGAAAGAGTCGTGACACGGTTGTGTCTCAATAAGGTCTTTACTAATGAGTAATTGTTACGGCGCCGAGAGATCAGACTCGGTTGGTGAATCTATCCCC